TCTTTAGCTGTCACCATAGCAGTAACACATTTGCAAAAATACTTGTTGCTTCCTACAGTCTGATACAAATTAAAATAGCCTCCTTAACCACTCGGCATCGTTTTCTACATTGTCCATCTCATACTCACAGATTATTCCAGTGTTTAAAGTAAACTGGAAGAAAGTACAGCCTATTCTTGAACTTCCAAAATTTCAGATTCTAGCACTGGTACACAAATGAGACAAAAATAATTCAAGGACATTGCAACTTTGCAGGGAGAGGTATAGCTTGGTTTTTGACAACTATGTAGTGACAGTATTTCATATATTCCAACTAGAAGAATGATTAAAATCTTCAATTAATTCCTATTTACTTATTTAATTGGAAGAGAACAGTCTATTTCATATAATATGCAACTTGGGTTTAAATAACCTCTAAATTTCACATGAGGAAATCCTCGGTGTTTTGAAAAGCATTAAAAAAGAGAACTAAGCAAGTCTTACCATTTTGATGCCAGTGGAAAACGTGACTGGTTTGACAGGTATGGGTTTTTCCAGTTGCATTTCTAGCTGAGTAGATCTGTCCTTATGTTGAGCTAAAAGCAGCGAAGCAGGAAGACTGGAGCTCTCCTGTAAACATACGAGGAACATATTTGAATGCTTATCCAAAACCAATATTAATTAACACTGCATATTCTTCAAAACTGCAAACTGTGTCTGAAAGGCCATCACTAGCAGAGCAGCGTAATGCTAAGTATCCTCTCTGTGAGAAACAGTTTACAGAAAACGATCATTTTCAGTAATAAGAAAAAGCTGCAGCAACCCCATAAATCAGAGTAACCTGCAAACAACCATTTTTATAGAATCCACATTAAAGACAATATAACAGGCTCCTTATTCCAACTGGCCAATGCAACTATATTTATTAAAATAAAAAAAATTAGAACTTAATCAGAGAAGGAATAATACCAAGTGGTATAACTTGGATCAGATGTTTATCTAAGACACATTCTTTCTACCAATGAACTCGGACCAATTTGAAATTGTTTCCCATTAGATTTCACCTGAGGCCGTTTGGAAATGATCCTTGCTCTGCTGTGCACAATGGCACTATTGTAAGTGCAACCAACAGCATATTTATTTTCTCCTTCACCAACTTATTTTTAGGGAAGCCAGCCAATTTAAAAAATATATATATAAAAAGTAGTAAAATGAATAGTTAAGCAAATGAACTACTTGAACTCTCAGAACAGAATGATTATTAACATACATATATGTAACTGCATTCTTGAGAGAGTTAGAAAATTATTGGTCAAGTAATTTTCTAATAAACTAATGCGACTATCCACATGCACACCGAAATCTTTGAGACTTGTAGCTAGAATGACCATAAAGCTGAGAGCAGGGAAGAAGTTCAGAGGTATTCTTCCCAGATTGCTCTAGCAGTATTTTATACTGAAGGCCCTCAATCGTTACATATACTTCTGTTTCACAGAATCAAGCAAATACTGAACTACAAACCATATTTGTTACACACAAAACCAAACACAATTTAATAAACTGGACTGTGATTTTTTCACTTATTCAGTTCAGGGTAAGAAGTGGGAAGTTTTTACTGCCACGAGATGCCTTGCTGTTCATGGGATCCTAGAGAAATCTTCTGAAGTTATCATGAAGAACAGTCTTGTTGTACACTGACTTTGCACATTGCTGTCCAGTCCTCTTTACTCTCTATTTTTTGTTACGCTCCCTTTGTCTTATAACTAGATTGCAACTGCTAAAAGCAGAAGAATCTCACATGATGAGATCTGGTCCAGAGTCACAAATACCACTAAGGTACAGGATCCTACTCACATTTTTGTAATTAACCAGGAAGAGGGCAGGGAAGAGGTTAAAAACCTAAGTTGTAATAGAGACATCTAATTTCTGGGAGAAAATTTGGACCAGAAATGTACTAGTTTACAGTCTGCATCTTCAAAGTGTTGTACGTGTCTCTAACTACCATGCAGCAGCATGTCCTGCTAGCTGTCAGCAGAGTTTAAGGATGTTGGATTCTTTTAATCATCAGGTACAACATGCTGGGAGAGAAGAGCGTGAAGTGTTCTCTGGTTCATTTGGCCCTCTCATATTCCTTAAATGTTCACTGCATTTCTAATAAAATGCAAATAAAGGAACCCAATTTTCGTAGCAACTTCTCTCAAGAGTTCGCACAATGACTGGTAACCAGATTACACAACTGTGGGAAACCCACACCGTGCCAGCAAGCCACCGTGTCCGTGATTGTTTGTCCTTTCTAATACGCACATAGCCCTTCTGTTAACTATTAACACACATGAAAGGTCCAATCCTATAAGCATTTATCCATACTAGCAATTTTCTGTACGGGAAAACAAACTGTCTAACAGTATGAACAAAGCTAGTTACATGCAAAAATTTCTGAAAGGTTTGTCTTAAAAGTCCTGAGGTTCTGGTAAAAGCGGAGACACTTGATGTCTTTAAGGCACCTTGCGCTTTGCTTGACTGCAGGCTATGCCACGGCTCAGGAAAAGCGGCCTCCCTGCCATGTGCTGCAATGCCATTTTGCTCATGCCTGGGAAGCATGGGCTCTTGAAGAGGAGGGTACACGTCCCACAACACAGAAGACATCTAAGAGCAGATCTGTAACCCTCTGTATACAGGGGAGAGAATTTATACAGTAAATCAAGGAAAAGCTTTAATATTTTACTCAGTCCTGATTATCCAAGTCTAGAAGGTTAAAAAAAAACCCCAACAAAATACAACACCAAAACACACACACACACACAACTCTTCCAATAATACATAAAATACATTTGAGACTTCAAATTTAAGTTACAACAAAGTGGTGTGCTTTTAAAGTGAGAGATTTCATTGTAAAAGAGGACACTTAAAACGAAGGTAATATAAAATCTGCCTAATTTAGTACTGGGAAGCAAAAGAGGCAACAGCCTAAGCAAAGCACCCAATTGCCCTTCCAGTAGCCAGCAGAGCCTGAGTCTTCCTGCTCATGTTCCCAGGAAGTGATGCTGGCCTTCCCCTCCCTGCTCACAGGCAGGGACGGGTTCGTGAAGCCTGGGTCCCAGGTCCAGTCCTTTCTGCACGAGCCCCTGTGCTCCCCAGGCTGAGTGGGAACCAGAGCCAGCTGCATGATGTTTTAAATACCAAACGTTTCTATGCCTTTTTCCCTGCCTCTGGACTATCTAAATTATAAGCTCTCTGAAGATGGGACAGTATTCTCCTACACTTTTGTAAACAACCGAGACCTTTACTGAATACAATAATACCATAAATAATACATATAAGAAACTGTGAATCTCCTCAGTCATTAGGATTTAAGCACCAAAGGCAAAATTCTCAGAAGAGGAAAGACCTGACATCTCTACCTGTACCACACCAAAAAAATTGTCTTAAATTTTCTCTTGCTGCTATGGGGCAGGGGAATACATCTTCACAAAAATGACCAACACCCAGGTCAAGTGGGCTGTAGGTTCCCAACGTCAGGGGATGCATCCAAAAGAGACAATTCAAAACCAACTTGTGAAATATCAGCTTCCCACCTTTCTCCACATCATGCCAAGTCAGAAGTTTTGCCACTGGGACCACTGTAGCCAGAACTCAATCTGTGTTGTTTAAGCACAGTACCAGCAACCATAGATATAAGATTATTTTTTTAATGTAGTTCTTTACACTGCTACTGCCTATGCTTGCTTTTGTGGCACTTCTCATTTAAGTTTTGCTTCTTATCAGATCCATTTTCAGATTTGCAGCACAGCATTAGAGGGATTTTAGAGACCATAGGAAATGTTTATTTGTTTAACAACTGCCGGTTTTCCAGAGACTTTGTAAGTCATTATACAAACACTTCAGTGCTGGTTTTATAAACCTTTAGTATTACAAAACAAGTTTTGGCTGAAATTTAAGTTGACAGTGCCCCTTCATAAACAGAGATGCAACTTAAAATTGCCCAGTTTCCTTCCTCAGCCTTTAAAAATCACCTTTCTGTTGTTTTTAGAATATTAAGATATGTTTTAATAGCAATACATATGCAATCACAGTTAAAACTACCTATTTTGGTCATGTTTTAAGGATTATTTATTACCAGTCTTTCCTCAAGCCATCTGGTGAAGTAGGTTTCCAGTAAAACCAACTGCTGTGTGAAAAAAACAAACCAAAACAAACAACCTAAAACAAACACACACCACCACTGGTCACCAGCAAGTTAAGAGACTTAGAGTGTGGTTTAGAATAGGATTGAAATCCCTGTTCTGAGCCATTAAATTCAAGATCATAGTGGAGTTTCTATTAAAAGATCCACTACTCAAATTATTCCCCATTGTGTGGATTGTAAGCACTTATACCTTCAAAGTGAAAAGAGCCTGCTGGATGCAAAGTTACAGACTTGAGGGATTTTCAAAGACCCTTTCTGCTCATCTCTGCTTTTGCCTACAAAAAATTAAACATCAGCTTCCTTCAGCAAAACCAGCGACAGGTTGCCAGGACTCCTGGCTTAGGAAAAGGCAGCTCTTCAGGAGGCCCTGAAACTCCTAAACGGTACATGAATGCTCTCTCTTCATGTCAGTGTCTTCCGCACTGGTTCAAAGAGGAACTCTACTTTTCCAGGAAAAAGGAGAAAAGCATCTGTATCTTGAATAAGAACTGAGAATACAAAGCAGGAATTAATGCTATATTCATGTGAGACAAACTGAAATAAGAGAGAAATTCTGATTTAAATCTGCCAAGTAGCTTTAAACCACATTGACGTAGCTGCACACGTGTATACACTTCTCCGTTTTTCTGATTTCCTTCAAAGTTACACACAGACTGTTCTCATGGGTGTTAAAGTGTGTGAACGTGTGCATGCATGTCTGTACACACAAGTGTATTTAAAAAAAAGGCGATGTGAATCTTGTTTAAATAACATTTATTGAGCTTCTCTATGCCCACACATCATCATTGCATTTCAGATGCAGAATCAGTAGTAAGTTTAGCCAAAGACAAGATTAACACAATTTCCAGAAGTAGCCTGAGCTCTTCTCACACACCTCCAATGAATCCAAGCTTCGTTCACTTCAAAAGGAGCAACTCATACACAAAAAGTTTGCAGTAAGAGACCATGATGCACTCAAGGCAAGAAATCTTTTCCTGTTAGTAGTTTTTGAATACAAAAGGACCACTTATCATTTAGATGCTCTGACTCAAAAAGGGTTGACTAATGCTCAAATAACTCATGAGGTTACTGTCCCCTGTTCTTTGTTCTCCACCATCTCCCCCTTGCAGAGGTGGCTGAGGAAGTAGCTTCTGATGACCGCTTTGCTTCAACACACCAGATTGTCACCCACCACTCAGGACTGCCTAACAAGTCAACAGTGGCAGGAGTTCACACAATGGCAGAACTGAGTAGCTCCTCTCTACCCCCCTCACAGATTGCATGACCAGACACACACCAAAGCAGATGCAATTGTCACCAGCTGAAGGCAATACAAGCAGGCAGTTACCTGGCCTCAGACATGACAGAACCTCACCTATCACATATCAGGTTCAAGGTGGAGTAGTCACCATATTAGCTATGCCAATGCAAGCCATCCTTGATCACAGTCAAAGCCTGTGGCTGTCATACTGTCAATGAATTAAGTAGAAATCTAGACTTTTATACTAGCTCTTCTTCAGATATGCAGTCAATTGTCAACTCGTAAGTAAACTGATAGAGTGGTGGGACTCACTAAAGCAATTTCTGAATTATATCTCCATCTCAATTAGCAACAAGAAAAGAGCTTTCAATGGAAGCTCACTAGGAAAAGAAATGAAAAAAAGAAAAAAACAAAACAACAAACAAACAAACCCAAAACGGGTAGAACCAGGAAAATAGCCTTTTTCAAATACCAAAAAAACCTTCTGCATTTTTCCTTGCTATAATCTTATCCAGGATTAATTTTTTGTCGAAACAGCCAAGAATGCTCTCCTAGAATTAATTTCTAAGCAGCACTGGACATTCTGGGCAATGAGTCCAATTAAGTCTATGAATCTCAGAAGCACTCTGCCTCCAGTCTTTACCTTACCAAAACCACAGTTGTTTATAATATTGAAATGAATGAAAGGTGAGAGAACATAAACACAAAACATGCAAGACCAGGAAGCAGAAAGGGGCAGACGTGTTAATTCCACACAGTTAACCGTGGTACAGAAGAAAGTCAATGTACTTGCTGTTTGCTCTGCTACTGAGCATTCAAAGCCTCTGGTTTTGTTACTCACCAGATCATCCAAGAGTGCCTGCTTATTCTTCCTTTTTATCATCTGTTGTAGTTGCTCTTCTTTCTGTATGAGCAGTCGCCTCTGTTCATTTTCCTGTCGCTCCACCTCTAAAGCTTCCTCCAGCTCTTCCTGCTCTCGAGTCTGAAATGGAAATTAGGAATTTACTCATAGCGATCTTCCTGCTCAGGTGGACAGAGCTCGCCCACAGCTCTGCTGCCTACACCAAAGGGTCTAGAACAGACCAAGCAATGGGAACGTAGCCAGATCCTACCTTTTACAGTAGAATTTTAGGTAGAAATTTAAGGTGATTATGATGATTCTACCTCTTTTTACTGTCCAGTGCAAAGTTAGATTTTTTCCTTGCTGCTCTCTGCAGTAGGAAGTAACCACCTGGATCTTGGCTCTTTAAATGCTAGAGAATGACAACGGGTTTTTCTTATACCTTCACTCTAAAATGAAGCACCTCCCTCTGCTCCCGTACATCCTACTTCTCAAGTGATATAAGTGGGTGACCAAAAATATAATCCCACAATACTGTCCCTGATTGTTCCTCTGATCAGCTGCATCTTGTGTGCAAAGTACGCTGTGTGTTTCCTAACAGTGGTGTAGACAAAAAATAAGAAATTACAAATCTGTGAATATTAATAGATATAAGCTTATAAGCTAAAGCATATTTAAGCATGAACTGTAAAAAAAAAGTCACATTTCCAGAAAATGAGGAATGTTTCCCGTAACTTGGGTTGAAGTCATGTGCCACAAGAGAAGAAACAAATAACTACTACATAGCGACTAGTTTTTGTTTCAGGATTTACTTCTTGAGAAGTCTTTTTTAACTTGTAAATTATTAAGTCATCTGTATTTGAAAATAATAGTGGAAATAAAATTGGAGGGCTCATATATGGGAGGGAAGGATTACAGCTAAACAACTTTATACAGAAGAGGGAATCAAAAGAACATTAGTTTGGTGGTAAGAAGGTATAGGACAATAACATACGGAAAACATTTTCAAAATCTTCCCCACCAAAAATACTAAAGCAAAAGGAGATTCAGTAAAAACAAAGATAATTAAAATTTTATAAAATTTAAACAGATGATTAATCCATAGAAGCAGTTTCAGCAAAACATTACAGCCAAGAGCTTAGCAAAATCTGTTCTTGTAACAAAAAATTATATCGTAAAGTACAGCGATCTGATACATGCCAGAATATGTTGAAAAACATCCCTCTTCCAGGCAGATGAAGGCAATGGGTCCCAGTGAGGTCCAGTTCCTCCTGGATGCAAGAGCTGACAGATCTCATCACCTGCCACTGAGCCAACAGAAGCTGCTTTCATTTTGTATCTAGCAGTTGTGGTGACCAACTCGCCTCCTCTTTCTTAGAGGAGCTCCTGGATGATGTGCGCCAACAGGATGCACACTGGTACACGAAACTGCAAGAAGTACTTGCAGTGAAAAACCAGAAAAGCCTGTGGTTTGCGATTCGATCTTGGAGCACAAGCTACAAGTCTGAACTTGCAATCTGATTTTGCATCATAAGTCACACATAATTGCGCATAAGTAAAGCAAGTCTATAAAAGCTGGTCTTAGAGCAGAGCTAGCTGAGGATCTTACTAGCGCAGTGACATCCTCCTGGTCAGGGACGCTTAACCACATGACACTGTCAGCCATCTTAATTGCAATCGTGAGTGTTATTGGTGGGGTTATCATTACCATTAAGATTTTACAAACTTTTATATGTGAATATCTGTATACGGTTAGATCTAACATAGCAACTATTAGCAGACATTTAGATGCTTAATAAACACACATTTATTGGCAATCCTGATGTTTGACCAGTTTAATTTCTTACCTACTGGAGCCCAGGGAGTACTGTTCTTTTACCTCCTACTTTCAAATATTATTTTGTGGACATTGGTTTGGTATTGTACGTATACCTACTTCACACAGTTGGGCGGAAGTAGGATGGCTGAGGAGCTTGGTGCAATACCCAGATTTCTCAAAATCACCTCATTAGAAGACAACCTGGAATTGTCTCCTCAGCAGACTGAACCTTTACCAACATGTAACCCCTCCAAGCAGTTGGGTTACGACAGCAGTGACACTGGTAAAGAGCCAGTCACCAACCAGCTCTGAAACTGGACTATCTTTGCATTAATGAAAGGAAACAAACAAAAAAATCCCCAAGCTGCTAATTAAAGTTATTTCTGAGAATTAAGAGATCTAGTTAGTTCAGTCAACAGAACTGAAGAGCTCAAGGTCTTTAAGACATTCCAAGCCTCTTCCACATTTATGTCTAAAGACTGCCTGGAATTTGCACTGAAACAGAACAGAACTTACAGGGAAGTGCTGACAGACCTAGTCTGAAGAATCAGCCCAGAAAAATTATAATCAGAAATAAGTAAACCAATATACAAACCTAAACCAGATCAGACCACAGGAAAGACAGAAGAATTATCACAAGTTAGATCAAAGTCTTTCTGCAAAGACGACCAAACAAAGCAGTAAAACAGAAGAGATAAGCTCAATAGGCAGTGAGGGTTATGTGAAGCTTAAAGATAACCTAGACACAGTCCAACATCTAAAGAAATAAAGATGATCATGGTAAAGCCTGAAGTCAAGATGGCAAATGGTAAGAAGTAAATAGAAAGTGTAATGTTTCGCCACATTCAAGAAAGGACAATCAAGAAAATTCAAACACATTCACATCACAGAGTCCAGACAAAACTATTTCAAGACTGAACAAAGCAGCAAGTTGTCGTGGTTTAGCCCCAGCTGGCAGCTGAGCACCACACGGCCACTCGCTCACTACCACCCCTGGTGGGATGAGGAGGAGAATTGGAAGAAAAAAGGTAAAATTCATATGTTGGGATAAGGACAGTTTACTGGGACAGTAAAGGAAGAGGAAAATAACAAATAACAACAAGAATACTTGTAAAAGTTTATACAAAGTAGGTGATACACAACACAATTTGCTCACCACCCAGAACCCGATGCCCAGCCTGTATTCAAGCAGCAACTCCTCCTCCGCAGCCAGCCCCCTTTATATACCGAACATGATGTCATATGGTATGGAACTACCCAAAGGGGATATTTGGGTCACCTGTCCTGGCTGTGTCCCCTCCCAACTTCTTGTGAAAATTAACTCTATCGAAAACCAGGACACAAATCAAATTAAACATCTAGTGATAAAGTAGGAAGTGACAAGTTATCCTATGACTCCAAATAGGAGATATTTAAGGAAGAAGGCACATTTGGGAAAACTGCAATCCACTCAGAAAGAAAGGCTTTATATATATATAAAATGTATACATAAATACGTATCTACAAATCAATTTATAATGACAAGAACCTCTTCTCCAAGAGTTCTTCACCTTTTTATCCAAACCTATCTAATTAAACTTCTTCTCTGCATCAAATCTAGAGATCTAACGGATGGGTTAGTACATGAGCAGCAAGGTCATTAGGAACTGTCTACAAAGATGACAAATGTGGCTTGCATTGACAGAAGAACAAGCAGTTATTCAAATCCTGAGGTGACTGGTTCAGTAACTTAATATTTTGATTTGTAAGAAAGAATGACATACTCATGAGGACAGAAGTAGGAGAAGTAAGATGAAAATAATTTACTAGCCACAGATTTGGAGACATTAATTCATCAGTTAGAAAACAAAGAGGAGAAAACATGATGCACGCCTTGACCACTACTGATTTTGAACCTCCTGTATGACCGTGCTACAAGAGAAGAACGATCTCAGAATCACATATGTCAACATATTTCCAGTCAAGATTGGAAAACAGTGTTCTTTTATAAGAGGCTGTTAAGATCTCAGCTACAATACTGCATTCAACTCTGGTCCCTTCTGCTTGCCAAACACAAATTCAAACTGGAACAGCAAAGGGTAACAAAAACACCAAGAGGGACAGAGAATATCTGTATTCCTCAGAAGCAAGCTATTACAGTGGACAGAAAAATTTATGGCAGTCCAAGAATGAAGAGACAATGACTGGCCATAAAAAGTTTAGGCGAGAAATTAGGACACCTTTTGCCATTTAAGGAGTAAAGACATTGCAAAACCTGCCAAAAAGAGTTAGAGAGAGAAAACACCCTTTCAGCTTTTAGGAGAGGGGCAAATTTATGGGCAACATCATGCAGTTTTTGTAACAGCAACTGCGTCAAGTCTATTATTATGTTGCAATTGTTGAAAAAGAAATGTTGAATGTTTCAAATGTTGAAAAAGAAATATAAAAGAAACGTCTCCAGATCTCCAGTAACTCTGGATTCACGCAGATTTGCCCGGCTTCCACCAGACAGCCTCTAGCACAGCAAGACCCTACAGTACAGAAAACAGAAGGCCCAGGGGGCTTGGGTGGGTACAGAGCATTACTGTGCTGCTTGATACGATCACACAGCTAGGGCACACGCTGCCTGCGAGTCACTTACAGGAACAGAAGGTGGGATGCAGGCAGAGCACTCTAGTCTCATGGTGACCCCAGAGGTTGCACCTACATTGTAAAATAAGTCATGTAGCCAAAGATTTGGCAGGTCCCTTCAAGCTCTGAAGCATAGGATATTGCACAGTGTCAGAGACAGGATAACAGATCAGAGATGGACCCCTAGGGAAATTTCCTTGCCTTTAAAAGGAAGAGGTTCAAACAAACATTTTTCAGATTCCAATCTCCTCCTGTGAAATCCTAGAGCTAAAGAAATCACTGGGAGTTTTGCCACAGACTTCAGGGGAGTGAGGATTTCACCCCTACTGATTTAAAAGCAAGTCCTTAGTGCAACTGGAATACAAACACAAAACCTTGTTATGTCACACTCTGGGCAGACATTTTCCTTCAAGAACCGATAACAATGTGTATTTTTATACTGAAAAAATATTCAAACAGATCAGTTTTTTCTTACAGAAAGAAATGCTTGCAAGTTTATTTTTAAAGAACAAAATGATATCTGAGCCATATTTGAAATGACTAAATCTTCAAAGAACCATGTATTTTGCATACAGATCATGTATACAATACTCCTGATGCTATTGGTATCAGCTCATGAACAAAAGGTATAATGTTTGTTTCAACATTTTTCATTTTAAATTTTGGATAAACCAGACCTGTGCTTTCCCTCAGTTTTACAACTGTCTCCTGGGAGCTTCACAATGTCTGCGTCTAGATTCCTTTTTACCTTCAGATGAGAAAGGAATGATTGTGCTGGTATAGCTATGAGAGACCAAGTTCATTCCTATTGTCCAACGACATCGCCAGCACATATGCAGAGGTGATTCATTAGATGCAGACTTTACTACCTGCCCTCTTTTTAAGCACTTCCCAAAATAAATCATAACTACATTTCAACTATCAATTTAATCTCTTTAAGCAGCACTAAATATCAGTATTGCAGAATATTAGCATATTACATTTTTTTGAATACAAAGTGAAATCTGCATAGTGCCTTCAGCTTTGACTTGTTTTTAAGATATTACAGAAAGTACTCCACTTCAAAAATCCTTTCATTCTTTAACTAATGAACAAAAATTGTAGGGGAGAGAAGTTAACTAACCAGTTTTATCTTATTTTTCTGAATGACTTCTTTGTTATCCTTCTGATACAGCTCCATTTTCCTTTTGGTGTTCTCCAAATCCACATTGTTGGTCAAGTTAAATACTGCATAAAATATTAGAAAGAAAGTAAAAGTATTAGATTGGCATGCATGACTATGACAAAGAAATACTACTCTTATGTTCTCTATCCCTTCTAGCTCCATAGTAATGATACGCATGAAGAATCATAGTATTAGTCATAAAACATTGACCTTTTCAAATAGCAGTTACAGCTAAGAACACAGTGATTTCTGTAGAATTAAACTAAACACATATTAAGACAAGGTTAGAAATTAAGTCATTCTATTTCATAAGATTATCTAATCCGTAAAGACTACAGAGCCTGTTCAAATTCTCAGGTACACACAAAATTTTCACATTATTTGATAACTTAAAAGGCATTAACATATCTTTATTATGAGGAATCTGCAGATGCATCCAGATTAACAGTTTGTCATTCTTTTGACATCTCTTTATAGTGACAGATTATATCTCACATAATTAGGAGCAAGCAGGGTCGCCAGAAAGCTCCATCGTTTAGCACAACATTCCCAATTATCCACACATGGCATGGGAGACACCTCAAGAAATTGAACAGTTTCTATAATCAACAGCTTGAAAGATGTAGATGGTTTGGATGATTAGTAATTTGATACAATGCCTGAGCCTTTCACCTCTAGGTCACTGGTTCAGTTGTGGGTCAAGTGAATTCCAACTGAAAGCCATTATCACTGGCAAGTTGCTTGGTGATCACAATCCAGAGTGGATGCTAGGCTTGTGCCCACGGCTTTAAAGCTATAGATGACTGCCAACATACAGCACCCAAAGCCTCAAAGAGCTTTCTCACATGGCTACAGTAAATTTATAAGAGCAGCAGAGACATTTGCACTGCCATTGATAAACCCTTCAGAAGAACACAACAGCACAGCGATTGCACTAAGTCAAGCCATGAGGAAGGGAAGGAGGTTCTAGCAAAAACGTTAGCACGGAACTTGGAAGATTTTGGTTCAGATCTCTCTTCCTAGGTTCTCAAGTGACCACGGCCAAATGAACCCTAGGCACATGCACCACTGCCGAGTCATTTGTGTAAGTAAGGCTGCTAGAGAGACATAGAAGGAAGAAGCATGAAGTCTGTGCTGTTACTCATCAGGATAGCACGCATCTCAGTTTGGTGAAGATTATATCCCTTGTTTCATCCTTTTGACAGGTAACATGGCAGAAATGAGCTTTTAGGAGGGTTCTAGGTAAACCAAACCATGAATAGCCTAGACTGGCAAACCAGTTGAGATCAGCAAAGGAAACAGCAAGAAATCAAAGCAGGGAGCAGAGGGGAAAAAAATGAGATGAGCCAAAATGCTAGAATCGTGGGATACAGCTCAGTTCTACAAACCCAGCCATACAGCAACTCACTACTCTCACACTCATCTTCCCAGGCACAGTTCTCACTCTTTGCCCTGCCCCAACTCCAGGACTCGCTGGATGCTTTGTCAACAGAAACCCTCCAGTAACCTGCGCTGGTCAGGCAAGTGCCAGAGAAGGTACAAGGGAAGTAATACAAGTGTACAGGTGGGAATAGGAATACTCTTTCCAGCAGTACTGAGTCACCACACCATCTTACTCTTATCAAAAGTATTCAGCCCTCCCTTGAACTGAAACAAAAAGGGCTAGGCAAGATACAGCTAAAGAAATTCCTAACCTTAACCAACCAAAATGCTGTATTCATTTTTTTCCTCTCTTTCCAAATAATGAGCAATATCAAGAGGACCAACAATTTAATTCAGCCTGGCTCCTAAATCAGCTGAACTCTTCCACCCCCTCCCCATCATCCTCCCTTCAGAAGTGATCCGAGATCCAGGCTGGTTATGAGGTTTAAGCATTTGATTGGAAATCAACACCTGGGTTCCATTTCCAACTTTGCTACTGCTCCTGGGCAGATCACCGGGCCTCTATCCTGGAGGTTTCCCACCTGTAAGAACCAGGAGCAGGGGAATAAAGCTTCCTTTCTCTTATGTGAACTCTGCTATCTCTACTTACTACCACATGCAGCATCTATCTGTCACCTTGATCTCATCCCAGGTGGAACTTCTGGGCACTGCTATAACCCATACAAGCCATTCAAAGTTCAGCTCCTTGGTTTTCTGGAAGTGACCTATTTCAAATCTATTTTATTTTTTTGTCTCCAAAAGGCATAACAACATTTTCTAATTTCCTGTTGCAGCAAACATACACTTTCTGGTCATAGCAACGTTTCCTTAGTAAAACACATTATTTTACTCTAAATTTTTAATATTTTAATGGAGATTTGACCTCCAACTTTCCAGCCTATGGTTCCCAGCTGACAAGCAGCTTAACATTTCAGTATTACAGCAGAGAAGAATTGTCATGTGAAAATGTCAGCATACAATCAGACCAGGGCATTGCAATGACAGCAGCTGCACAGGAATGTCAGCACTTCCTAAAACTTAAATCCACACACCAGCTCTCTAAACTCTTCAATGACGACACAAGAAAGAAATAGCATATGAGACATGCTGTGCTAGCAGGATGCCCAGATGCCACCTTCAGGTGCAAGAGGAGGAGCAAGATGAGATGCCAAATGCCTTTGGGCTCCCGAACATCTTGTTTATTTCTCTAAAAATAATTCAGCAATAAGCTGATGATCCAGGTTTTACAACTATTACTGCTTGAAACTTTCAGGGGTCGTTTATTCCTCCTTTCACAGTCATCATTAATAGGTTCAACTATTATCATTTTACATTTTACAAACCTATGTTTGTAAAACACAAACCATAAGAATTAAAACTCATACTGGGGAAAGCAAGCAAATTTTAGACATGCATCTAGATATGCAGTTATCTGCCTTTATTTAGAACTATGTACAAAAGCAGGTTTATCTTGTGACTTGATATTAAGTAACATTTCCATGCAAGACATGGGTTTCTGCATCAGTGTTTAAGAATTCTTCAATATTCACCTGCACAGCCACCTTAAACCCTGACTGCTCTGCTCACAGCACAGTGAAACAAGGTTTATTTCTCCTTCCGTTTTCCTGCTCTGGATGGAACTGAACTAAACCATAGGTAAAACTCTCTCAACAATCAGATCTCCTTGCACCATGTCAATAGAGGATATAGTAGGACTCTAGCAATCTGAAAGATTCGTATCTCCAGCACCCTCAAAGACCAGCGCAGATTTCTCCCACTGAATGTTAATTCATAGTCATTGAAGAGGAGCGTTATCTCGGTCCTCAGCATCTGCTCCTCTACACTAATGTTGCCCACATTTCAAGACATAAAATACTGAAGAACTACATTTTGTTGCAATAATGTTAAGATCTGAATATCTCTATATCAACATTAGTGTCAACAGTTATCCTTTAATAAATAAAAAGAATATCTTCCCTCTACAACAAACACCCTAGCAGCAAAACGAACTATCCTCTTTGACATTGCACAGTTACCAGTGGCCAACCAGCCAGATCATCTTCCAGCATATTTTCTAATGTGTTTTTCATGAGCTTCAAACATCTCTTCATCAATATTTAGAGAATACCAAATTCTTGCCATTGTATCCTCGCAATTATAGTTGACAAAGTCCATTTTGTAAGGGGCACTAGGCCACAAAAGGTAATTATTTCTTTCTCTTCTCCCTTGTCCCCTCCACAAGTTGCCTAGCATTTAAAAAAAAAATCAACAAGTATCAAATCAAAGAACATAGTCACTAATACTCAACATCTGACCTTTTACATAGCTAGGACTATGCAGTGTGGGGTTTTTTAATTATTTTGTCTGCTTTGGGTTTTGGCAGGAATTTATTTGAAATGTAATTCTTCCAAATGTTGCCTTTTTAAAAAAATACAACAAAACACATCATAAAACTAGAAGAACCAGAAAGAGTTAAAAAACCTAACTCATGCGGTACACCTGCCCTGAAAAAATATTGGTATAGATCGGAATATGACTGGCAAAGCAGATGGCTAGTTTGAAAAGGTTTCAAAGAGAAGCCAGACTTATTTTTGTCCATGTTGAAATATAGCATAAGCCGATATAAGAGGCCTGAAACCCTTCAGGGAAAAGAAACAGAAGCTGTTTTGTATGCAACAATTATTTATCTACTTATCCATCTCACATTGGTTGGTTTATGAAATGACTTGCCTTGAGACATCTGTTGAAGTGTAACAGGAAGACTATTGTGTTTTTCTGAAACATTTATTTCTATTTAGGTAAAACTCCCTACTTCTGAAATTCAGCCACTACAGGGAGACTTTCACTGTTTTTCAAACAACATTTATTACGCAATTCTACAACAAATGGAAAAATATTTTCCTAGTTATAAACAAAACAAGAAAATAGGACAAAAATTTGAATTATATGGCACAATAATTTGTCCAGAGACACAGCATAAATGAATCTCATTCCACTGCAGGGCTTTAAGTCCATCAAAATCTCCCTGTTTTAGTCTTAGATACTGCAAATTTTCTGAGACTTCTCCTCCTAGTTCCTTAAGAGACAATAACGTTACCATGTAAAAATATTTGCTATTTGAATAGTAGGAACATTCCCTCACTGACAAGACAGTAGATGATTACTCTGCTGAGAGTGTTTGATCTGCACTGCTGGTATGAGCCAGCTGAAAAATTTTAAATTAGTGTTAGTTTGTTATAAAAAAAATATTCCTCCCACCCTACTACAAACAACTCTTTGATCATAATCTTCATAAATCATCAGCTAGAGACTAGGAACGGCAGAAGAGCAACTGCTTTGGACAGAGGACTATGAAGGGAGACACAACTACATCCTCAGTCTGCTCGGGGAGTCCAAAGCTAACGTGGCACATTCTGTTGGTGCTTTTGATGCCTGGGCCAACCTCTGCCCCTGTACTTCTAGGAAGGGCGGGAGGGGTGGGCGAGGGGGAGAAAAGATGGACTAGATCTTAACAGGTCCCTTCCAACCAACATTTCTGTGATTATAACAAAATAATTATCAGAAACAAAAGAAAACCCACAGCTAAAGCAGAAAAATCTAGTTAGGTATTAATAATTTCTGTTTATCCTCAGCTGTCTTTTACTGGGACAATAATTTTCCAGAAAAATACCTTAGCATAGTAATAAATGACTGAAATCACTCAGCCCCATCGGGCTAAGATCATTTTTTGACTGGAACAGTGTGGTACTGAAATCTTTGTTCAGATGAGATGACTGTAATGGATCTTTGATTAAGCTGCCCAATTTCCAGTTGGGTTATTCCCATTATCAGGACCAGTACTACCAGGCACATACACACACAGAGGGGGAAAAAAAACCCGCAAAACAATAAACAACACTACCCACAAGTGATCATAGATACCAAAATCCTTTCTATCCAAAGATCGTTTGCGAGATAAATGTTCTGAGCAAGACAAGTCACAAGGCAGCTGAGATTGCATAAAGTCTTAGAGGAGTAACAAGATACAAGAATCCGAAGGGCACAAATACAGTAGCCTCCTTCCAAGCTGAATGTACTGAATGTTTTTAAAAAGCAGTAATTACTATTAACAATTGTGTTGCGGTAATGCCTAGAGGCCTTATTCAGGTATCAGGAGATCAGTGCCAGGCAGTGTGAATACACATGCTAGGAGGCAGGCCCTGCTCTGGAGAGCTTACACACCAGGTTTTGAAAAATCGGGCTATGGAGATATTCTGGGGAAGAAGAAAACCATGGGGGAAGAGGAAAAGCTTGTAGAAAGAGTGAGCAAAATTTGCATGATGTCCAGAGAATTGTAACTTTTAACAACGCTCTAAGGTTTAACCTTGCCCCGCTCTGGGTATAGACCTGACTTACTCCAATAGATGTTGTCCACACCTTTCCCAAAGGCAGGTTTTAACCCTTTCACTTTATTTTTCTTCCTAGTGTTAATGACAACAAACTGTGTTTACAATGTTCTCAAATTGTTCAACTGATTTTTCTTCTGGGGGAAACTCGCTTTAAAATGTGGTTTCTATTTAAAGCCTTGTATAACACATTTTAGCCCAAAGCATTATTTAGTGGCTACATTCAAAACCACTTCAAAAATGTGTTTTTTATAACAGACATCTTAAGAGGTGACTACCCTAATGTTTGTTTGACCTTCCCCACACTTGTGCTGCACCACCCAACTCTTCTTTAAATAGAAAAAGTCTGTAGGTATAATACGCCTGATAGGAAGGGGGAAAATGTGTTTCAAGTGAGGTCATATATCACATCAATGGAATAAGACAGTGCAATTGCTCCAAATGTTGGAGCTGACCTACCCGCAATATCTGGAAAAACTATTGGAATTGTGCCAGGGTCACACGTATACTCATACAGCATGTTTACATTTTGTCTCTCCAAGCAACTACTTCATTTAAACACCCACAAGAACTTACGAAACAAGACTTACCAGCAAAAAGAAAACTGGGCAAAGCTGTGCTTCAACCCTCCCATAAAAAACCTGAAAGTTTAGGGTGGGAAGAGAAAGGAGAAATCCATTTCTCTGCTCCCTAGCTTCCTCCCCTTGAACAACCACCACCAGCTACTGCCAACCTGCTGTACTGCTGTACATTGGCTCCACAAGGCAAAACTTTGTGCTGCATGACTACACCCTTTCTTTCCCATCTTGCAGCCTAATTGTTCATATGCACAAACGAGCAGAGAATTCACACACACCAAAAAAAAAAAAAAAAAATACTCTCAGCAGTAAAATGGGAAGTAATCATGCAGAGTCGAAGACACCTTTAACACATTGTTCAGCCACACACATACCAGACAACTATCAGGTGGAGGAGTCTGCCCAAGAGTGCAAGCAGGGAAGGGCTTGGGGAAAGCGAGATGTCTGCAAAGAGCTTTGTCACCAGGAAAGGAGACAGGGCTTAAATTCTTACCCAAGGCGGTGTTCTTGAATCTAACCTGTCCTCCAGCTTGTGGATCCGCCTGAAGTTAGTAAATCACAAGTGACCCCTTTGACAGTGAAAATTAAGAGCCTTCTGACTGCACCCCTTCTTTCCTCTCATCACCCTGGCTGCTACATAAAGAAACGAGGAGGTAGTCAGACTTTCTATTCCTTTTAGTATTTTAGGTGTCCATTTCAGGCAACTAACTCCAATTCCTGACAACTCTTGAGCTTCTTCATTATGCATTTGCAGGGCCAGCACAATTATTGACAAATTCACTTTTTTTTTCACAAGGTTATCAAGACCAGCCACAAATTCTGCTGCTGCTAAACCAAGTTACCAGCACAGGCTCTGGAACCATTTGAAATTTAACAACCTAATCCCAAGAGCTGCAGAATCACAACATTCTGCACAAATTGATGAGATTCAGGCAACTTCTGGCAAAACTTCAACTCCCTTGTTGCAGATGCTGAAAACCCCTGTAACAGCACTAAGTAGGAAACCTGTATTTAATGCTACGTAAATAAAAAGCAGTTTTCCTTTCCACAAGCACACACCAGGATCCTCTGGCTAAGAAGCAATCATTCTCTCTACTCACCCTCTCCTTCCCCCGCACCATCCAAAAAAATATACAAACAGAACTACACCCACATCATCTCCTCCAGATATTCGGACAGATATGAGTGTGCCTAGTGTTTCCTAGGCACACAATTTAGCTTTCCAGCCTCAACCTTCTAATGCCAACAAAAACATGATAGATTACTTGCAGCAGTAAGTGTACTGGATGCATTTCTACAAAACACCACAGTGCAAAGAGGAGCAAGGGCTACTTTCAGAAACTGACGGAGAGTAGCATCTCTGTGTTTTCCTTCAAAACACATTCACTGCCTCTGCTGCACGTTCTAAGCCACCTCTTCTTCCTCCAGGACAATGAAAGAAAAGTCTCAGAAGCTCATAAAACCCAAGAAACAAGCCATTTAGGAGTCGCTCCTCTGAACACATCCTTGTTTTTCTAAGCAAAATCCATCACTCCACCATAAATCACAAGTCACCCTAACTAAGAAGAAAATAAACTCTGTTGATAACGTAGTCCCTTCCCAAAGGGCAAAGTTCTGCTTCAACTAATCCAAAGAAATCAGTGTTTGTTCCTAAACCTTCCCTTTCTGCACAGCAACGTAAAATGCTACCACAGTGGTATGTAAGGTCATCAGCTTCAAAGCAGCTTCAACTACTGTACTTGCAGAACCAAAAATGATGAAAGACACCATATGGCTTCTGTCATGGTAGATAAAGCTAATGGAGGCATACAATGAAAATTTCAATTTCTCCTCTCTTTGTTTAATCTTTCCCAGTGCAGTACCGACAATTCCCTGCAAGCCTTTCTTTTTCAGCTGTAAAGCACTACTTCCTCTTTGAATCATGTTTTTTCCTTTGGGAGATAAAACGTTTTACTTAACGATGTCCTACAGTTCAGCAAATATGATTAAAAATGTACAGAAAAAAGTAATTAGATAAACATCTGACACTATGATAAAGCCTATTACAGAAACTCAACTTAGACATTCTCATAGGCAGCTGAGTCAGAAGATAAAAGCCTATGGTCTCATGAGCACAGCACATCAAAAATGCAAGCATTAAGACTTACCAATTTCTTCTATTTCTTCCAGGAAATCATTATATTCACTTAGACTCGGAAAGTCATCCTCTCTTTTATTGTATCTTTGAGAGAAGAGAAATAAGTATTTATATTAAGATGCGATTTTAGTTCAACAAGGCTCTTGCTACAAGCGTACTAAGTATTGACCTAGTTTTATCAACAACGTGCTTTCTGGCTCCCACAACTGACCAATGTACAGAATCTTTACAAGGAGACAGAAGCGCTTGTTTGAAAGGAAAGGAGCCGGTCTGACATAAATCAGTGCTATCTTTGCCTACTGTTTGCTGATTCTTTTTTCCAGGGTTACAGGTAAACAGGAGCACAGAGGCTAGTACATACTAATTCCAAGCCAGCCCTTCACCATGAGAAACCTGTTAACAAAGGCAGAGACAACAGTAACACGCACAAGAAAAGCTTTTCTAGAACTACTGGAAAAGGGGAGTTGGCTTTGTGCCACCAACAGAAAGCATATGTCAGCAGCAAATTGAACATGCTACACAATTATCTTATTTCATATCAACAGACCATACCAGAACTCATTTATCCAGCTTTTGATAGCTGGAAAAAGTAAAAAGATGAAGGGACAACTGGCTAGAACATGGACAGCCTCTGAAAGTCAAGACACACATGCTTTCTTCCCAAGAAAATAGAAAGCTGAGATTCTGCCTGCTCCGCGGACCAAGATACGTGACACCCAGCAGTATAAAAATCTAATCACGAGAACTCGGGCCAAATTCCAATTTGGGGACATTTTTTCTCCCTATGAAAAATTAATCTGGCAAATCCAAGCGGGCCAAGCATTTTACAATGTTTCTGTTCTATCTACACTTCATTCCATGTTTCGTCAACTAAGTTGACTTCATTCCAGTTTGACTTTTGTTAACTTCAGTAGACTTTATAATCAAACATCAAAATTACTACTACTTTCCACATCAGCACCTAGGTATTCAACAACGCAATTTCCCCATGTCAGCAAAATCATATGATTCATTTAGTATTGTATTAAGTCTTAGATAAACGCTGCCAAGCTTACAATTTACCTGTATGTTCGTTTTTGCACACGCAACTTTCTCCAGGTTTGTTACATTCCATCAGACCCACTTCTACCAACACATCAACTAGCTCACTTATTTTCCTTACAAAATGCTGTTTCTTGGCCACAAGGAGTGAGATGCAATTTTAGACCTCGTTTACCTCAATTCCAAGAGTGCTGAAATCTGCATGACAGACTAGTAACACAAGGCTTGTAAGGAAGTATTTCCACTAACAATTGCTGCGTGAAGTAGAAAACAATGTGAACATAACTTCTCTTTTGTCCATTTTCATTTTGAAGGGAACTGGCCTTCAACTCCCAGAACAGGTCCCCAGGGAACAAAGCAATCAAGGTCTTGTTTCTTGCCCCAGTCCCATGGTCACCCCCTCAGAGGGAAAGCAGCTGTAGTCCTCAGTATCTAATCATCTCCATTTATAAGGCAAATCTTTGCCAAAGGAGGCTACATAGAAACACCCAACATTTTCTAATGCTAAGCAGGAATCCCTCAAGGCTAAATGGAGAATTCAGCCCTCAGTTGTTGCATAAAATCAGATTCTCTGAAATCCCTGCATGTTAAATGGAGTCAAGTTTTCTGGGTCGTCTCTTTTAAAAAAAAAAAAATTTATCTCCTTTGTACTACTGGAGGGGTAAGTCAATTTTTTTAAAAATGGTGATCCATGAAATACATCCACCTTCTGTTCTTTTAACTGACGACACTCACATTTTCAGTACTTTCTTCCGAATTTCTACTTCCTTGTCAACAGCAGGATCCTCAAAGAGCTGTACCCTGAAGTTACTCTTCCGCAGGGGGGTATCACACTCCTGACAATTCCCAGCCCCTCTCACAAACAGCAGTTCCACACAGCTCTCGCATCTACAGGAGAAAGGAGGAGACACAAAGGCACATACATGTTAAACAGTAACTGAAACACAGGATTGTCCCCCTTTTGTTGTTTACACACACTGTAAGTACACAGCGCATCTCCCCTTGATTTCACTATTTCTTCAGCACCCAACAGTGGCAAGGAGGCAAGGGCTTTCCACCACTGCAGAAAGTAAACAATCTCAGCAGCCCAAATGTATTTATTCCCCCTGCCCAAACTCCCTGGCCTCTTTGCCGAGACTGAAAGTTAACCTAAACACAACGACGGGTTTTGTGTCAAGGGAAAGCTTATTTATTGACACCAAACTCATTTCACGTGGACCAGACTGCAATAACCTTATTTACTGTGAGCACTACTTTGCTGCACAAGAAGCCCCGTTTATTTTGCGTGATGCCACTCACAGCACAAGGTACTATTCAGCACAAGCAGGGATATAAATCTCGCCCACAGCCTTCCAAGCACCCACCAATCTTACCATGAAGGAACAGCCATAATAATCCTGAGCTAAACTCCATCCCAATACAGTTAAAAACTGAAATACCATTTTAACCAGCAACCAGCATTACGCAGCTCTCCTGTGCCTTCTGTTAATACTTTTTAAATTGCACATAAAATATACTTCACACAGAGGCTGCACAAAAATAAATCAAAGCTAACTTTCTGGTTTTATTTCTTTTGTCTTAATGACGATTTCAGATTTTAACAAGACGCTTGCTGACTAGTCAGTTGGTATTTAATAAAGGAAGAGCAGACAACGAGAAAGTCAATTTTTAAAAAAAGTACTTGGGTGCTAATAATGTGCAAATTTCTAGCAGAGGACACCACCTGCTGCAGTCATTTCCTACTGCTGGGGAGGCAAGGGGGTGTCTATTTATAGCTTGGCTATATTGAAGCCAAAACAGTTGTACATTAAGGGCTAAGCTGTATTGTACCTTCACAAACCCAGCACAAAAGCTAAACAAGTTAAGAGAAACAATACTGACATGGTTGCGAAGGATCTTAAACAAAACTTTCACCCTGGAGACCTATCCCCAACTAAACTGGTTCCAGTACTTACAGAGGCAGAGCTAGCTAGAGTCAACCAGTTTTACCCGGCTTCTGTTTTCGAGATTAGAAAGAGCAAAACAAGTGCAATTGTATCTCACAATTAAAAAAAAAAATCAGAGCAATTTTTTTTTTTCTTAACACAAGTAGAACTACAGTTCCAAAATGCATCTTGCACAGCAGCTGCCAACATTAAAGAGCAAACCTTGAATTTACTTGGAAGTTTTCCTGCTCCGGAATCCCTCTAATTGAAAACTAAGCACATTTAAACACAATTTATCTGGGAAGGGAAAGATCAAACCTTTTAGTACACTAGGCCTGAAATACAGAAGTTACTGGGACATCAACTCAAGAAGTATGCTTCTTTATGAAAATATTTTAACTTGCTCCCACGGTTGCAGGAACACTAAATGCACGAGAGAAAGCAAGGCAGGGAAAGGGTTTTTCCTCCCTCCTCCAACCTGTCTGTGCATGCAACAGCCCCGTACATAAGGGCAGCTTCACCATCTCCTTCATTTTGGCAGCCCGTGCTGTTTATATGTCTCTCTCAACACAGCAACCAGAACGCAGCAAAAAAATCCTGCCTCCTCTTTACTATTTTTAAGTTACAGAAAAGGGAGTGTAAGGCTACAGAACTTGGCAGGTGGATCCAAGTGCAGGTGTTCATATTGTTTTTCTTATCTTGGTATTGCCTAAGGACCAAGAGAACAGGGTCTCCATGTGCAAGATATTATGCACAGACAGTAGCACCTGAAACTACTTCACTTCCCCTCCTCTCCCCCTTCCCTAAATCAAAGACATTTCAAGTTTACACAGGACTTGACTATGGAAAAAATCCCTCCTTGGAAAAGCACTTCATACAAGTGCTTCAATGCCTTCCCAAACTGGAACCAGCATTTCTAAGGCTGGAAAACAGCTTTTCATACAAAAAGAGATGAGTCAACACCTCACTATGGGAATCCCACATCAGGTGATCAAGTTCTCACTCACGCACATCCACCCTTACATTCATTCATAGATAATTCCTTCTGAATTCAGAAGGGGTTATATAGGACAAGTCAAGGGCAGACCTGGACTCTGTCCAAATCCTGCCTCCTCTCCATCTCCAGACAGATGTAACATACACAGTTGGATCCCAAGCTTACTTCCTAGCAGGTCTGTCATTCTTGCCCCTACAAACTGCAGCCACTTTTCCAGCGATAGCAAACACATTTGGTCACACATTTCCACCTCATTCTTAAAGAGGGAAAAAGGCCATCCCCAAATGAGCTCCTTTTGGTTTAACAGCAGACCACTAAGCCAGAGTATATGCAAACATCAGCAAGGCAGATTTCAATAAAGGTGGATTTAATAAATCTTTATTTCAAGACATGAAATAATTTCAAAACCTGACTTGACAATTTTTTAAGAGATACAATTTCTTTGACTTCACCAACGATACCCAACCCATGCACCAGCCAGACACCTCACCACCACAGCTGGCATTACAGAGCTCCCTCATGGCACATAGACCACATCAATTCAGGTGATCCTTCCATTTCTTTGCAAGTCCAACTCTTCTCCATTTGCCTTAGTGTAAGGACAGTCTGACTGTGGAAGCAGGACATCATTCAGTGCATCTTTTATTGGCCAACACATCATACATGGCTTTCCCCAAATGAGCAAAGCATTGAAACACCTGCAAATCATGGCCAGTACAGGTGGCTACATGTTTTCTTAAATTAGGAGCCTTAACTCAGCTATTTTTAATATGCATATATGTATTATGTATGCATACATGCTACATATATAAACTAACGATGACAAATGTTCATGCTTAAAAATCAGGTCTGTATGTTTTTTCAAAACTGAGTAAGTCTAAAGACAACAGCTTCACATGAGGTCTAAACAAACACTCAGGGTGTGATATTGCCAATCCTCCTCTTCACACTAAGGTTGTAGGGCCTCTGTGATCTGTATTCTCTTTCACTCATTCACTAAAAGCTTTCATTACCTTTTCAATTTAAGTTTGTATCCTGAGAATAGGTAATTTGGATTAAGACATCAATAGAAAATGCCCAGGGAGCTACATGTGTGTGGACAACAGGGGAAGACCATTAGTAACGTCACCAACAAAAGCAATCACAGCACCTCCAGGAATAATAGTCTCCTTCCACACCAGGATAATAACTATCAGTACACTCATTTTCATTTCCATGGACACTGGTTTCATCTGTCATCTTCCCTTTCATCCCCATAAAATATTAAACAAATGGCTTAGTCTCTATGCAGTCTAGAACGACACCACATTTTTGAGGAAAGCAAATAATAAAGCATCTAGATGGTTTGGCACCATCAGTGCCCAAATAGCACTACATGTCTTCATGTCAGTGTTCAAGGACTTCAGGATTGTACTAAAAATGCTTTTGGTATATTGCAGAAAACAAGCAGAGGTTCCTCTCTGGAAAACTGTTAGATATTTATCAACTAAACTACATTTACTGGAACTGTTTGTTTTGGACAAAGTATCTTCAAAGGCTACAAGATTTGTACCCAATCTTGCATTCCCCACACATAGACATCATGAAGAGATGATGGCAGATAAGGAATCAAGCCTCTTGGACACTGAACGGATGAAAATGGCTCACAACATTAGCATAGCTTGATGGTGCTGCTTACTTTGCTAGCTTGGCTGGCAAGAGAGCAAACAGAATAAAGGAAGAGCTATTTTCACAAGCAGGAGTACAAGATATTCTTTTAAAAATTTAGATTCTGCTGAGCATAGCAAAAATTTGCAGGACTTCAGATATGCAGCCATTAATCACTTCAGAAGAAAAAAAAAATCTTTATGGCTTTTGCTGTTGACTAGGAATATTACAGAACGAGTTACTACCCTTCTTTACAAAGGCTATTTTTAGTAGACTTACTTATTAAACAGTATCAAATATTTAGAATCTCTAAGCCCCTCTTTTTTAGCTTCTATAACCAAGATGTTTCAGTTATTTAAAGTAACACACAAAACAAATGGTACTCTCTACTACAGAAAAAACAGTTTAGATTAAAAAATAATAGAGCCTTCAATATATAGCCAAGACTTGAACCACAAGCAAACGGAATGGAAAGAATCAGCAAAAAAAAAAGATGTGTTTTCACTTGTTCCTCAATTCTGATGTCAGAGGGAAATTTACTTACAGAAATGGAATGACTCTTGATTTATGGAGAGGGAACATTAAAAACCAATGGAAAACACACACGTGAGAAAGCTTACAGAAAAAAATCTAGATTTTTAAATCAAAGACGCTTCTAGAAACATTCACAGGCTTTTTGCTTAGCTTGGGTAAGACAAATTTGTGTTCTTGTACAGAGATTCTTGAACTGAGACAGCCCGATTTGGAGCAAGCAGCTGTCAAACCTGTTTATTTTGCAACCTTCACTACATTTAGCAAGTCCTTATAACCCACGGTGGTTTCTGCTGCATAGCCAAGTGTTCATCTCCTATTTGCAATTGGCCATTGCAGGTTTATTTTCTAGGCTGTTGGACTAATAGACACAGCCTAGAAGGCAGCTCTTCCTAGAGTCTGCAGCAATGAGGATCTCTGCAATCCAAAGCGCTCAGAGATCTGAGAAAAAGCAAATTTTTTTTCTCCATGTTACAGGTTAGGGATCAAAAGCTGAGGAAAGAGAAAGAAGCGTGACTGCAATGACACCATACACTTCTGAGAGCCTCAGAATAAAGGAGCTTATGAGATCAGTAGCTCCCAGATGAGAAAGGAGTTGGGGACAAAAGTCTTTTCCTTTTCACACCTCAGCTTCAGGAATTCAGAAATCCTTATTCAAATACTTGCAGAAGCAGCTGCCCATGTTTGCGCCATCTCTTCCCTGTCTGCCACATACAACAGGGAGTTGGGAGAAGATACCAATTACTCCTTTCCTCTTTCTCTGTTGAGATTCTGTGAAGTCCTACCAA